ATCAGGATTTCTGGCTGAAGTTTTTCCCTGGCTAAACAAAAAAAAAACGCGGTGATATGCTGATAATGTCGCAAAGTCATCAAACGGTCAGGAACACCCAGGATGTCACATTTTACTCTCCTACTGCACCCATTCTTGTGTCAAAAAAGAGAAATAACAGAGGAGGCGGAAGCCAAAAATAAGCTTGTTTCTGGAAAATGAGGAGTGGCCCCCGCTTAACCTCAGACATTGTTGTAGGTGGATTACAGCCAAGAAAAATACAACATCCCTGATTTTCAATATTTGGACTGAAATCCCTTGTGTTTTATAAAAAAAAGGTGGTGGTCACACTTAGAAGTCCAAAAGTCACTTGATACTTACCAAACCTCTTATATCCGAAGGACTGCACCTCCTCCTCATCAGCAAAGTCGTCTGAAGGAAGAATACAAAAAAATGATTAAATGTTTCAGCAGCCAAAACACAGAAATAAATCACCGTTTTATTTTACAGTTCCTCAACAATAGTTGAAATTAGCTTACTTTTTTCAGACCATTCATCTTTGCAATTCATTCAAAACGGTTAAAAGTTTACAGTAAGTTAAAAAAGTCAGTTAAATAGAAAGAATCATTGCTTATTTGTGCTCTTCCAAAAGAAAAATGAGGGTTATCTGAAGTGTGAACCCACGGTTCAATGAGTCCAATTCATTTCTTGTGCATCATGAACATTTCAGATCAGGCCCAACCTGTCTAAGTTGGATCAGCCAAGCTCTTTACTGTAAAATGTCTATTTTTCTTTTGAAAGTTTGGGATTACATCCATCTCCCACAACCCAGACTCCTTTCAACGCTGCCTCACATCTGCGTGGGGAGAGAGCAATTTGGTGAAACATATTTTGCTTTGTCATCACCCTTTGTCCCTGAAAATAAAAAGAAATACCACCATTTACCCCCCCCCCAAAAAAAACCTCAACTTTCATCTGTAAAAACAGTGAAGGGAGGATACGAGAGCGGCGGCCATCTTTCAAAAGAAGTGTGAAATGAATCTTCGGCTGCAAACGGAGGAATTAAAAAAATGTGCTCCCGGTGAAGGCCCTGAAAGTAATTATGGTGACCTTTGGGCGCACCACATAATGGAGAACAGAATGAGTTAAGAGGTGACAAGAACAATTCAGACTGCCATAAAAAAAAAACTGAAACCTCATCTTAGTGGAATTTACTTTTCCCTGCCCCCCTGGGGAAAAAGGTCAAAGCACGCCTCAAAACAATAAAGTTTGGATTACACCGTTTTTCGCTGTAAAACTGCTTGCTGTTGTTGTTGTTGGGACGGAACCGGTGAGACTGTGGGAGGGTTAAGCTGGAGTCATGCGGGGACTTTTGGAAAAAAGGTGGATGTTCATTTACTCAACCTGACCACAGTTTGATCTGATTTAAGCCAAACACACAGGATAGAGTCACACCCAACCCTCTGAGTGCTACGCCGCCGCTTTGGTTTTCTGGAAGTAAAGTACACATATAATGTTGCTCTTTCCCAGCAGAGGCTGTACCACTGTTCAGAGGAAGCCAGAAAACTTCATCTGAGAAGAACCCCAGTACAGCTGTACCAACACAACACAACAGATCTCCTCTATGCCCACCACTCCTATGACAAATGCGGTTCATTATGGGGGAGATGCTTTGGCAAATACGCATTCGGAAACCTTTTCCAATCAAGAAAGACACGCTATTTGTTTTCTTTTTTGGGGAAAATCCAGACACGCTGTCTTGCCAAGAGTTGAAATCCTGACACCGCTTTCATGTCTGCAGGTCTGGGAAGAGGACTGGCCGGATCATTGGTTCCATAACATGTTCATTCAAGATGATGGATTCTTTAGTAGAAGAGAGGATAGTTCCCAACGTTCTCTTAAAAACACGCGGATTGAGACATTAATGGGGAAGGTTTGTGTTGCCTTGGACTGAATTCAGGTGTGCTTTCCTTTAGACATCCCATCCCATACTTCTCACAGCAATAAAAAGGAGCACCGGGAGGTGACCGGCATGCCACTAACATCCAGGGTTTTGCTCTGAAATGTGAGCAGGGGGGCTACTCATTATTATAACTCACAGCTCAGAGCCTGTTGGGGCAACCACAAGGCGGCAGCAGCCAGGCACATTCTTATTATTTACACCCGGACACCGGGGCTGACCCGTCAAGTGTGGCCTTTGTTTAAGGGAGACGTGCGTGAAACTCAAAAATAACCCAGTCAGAGACACCAGGGATGCGGCCAGGCTCGGTATAAACCCTTTGTTTCAAAGTGTGAGCTGTCGGCCACTGACCATCATGAATCACCATGCACGTTCCTCAGTTGTTTTCAGAGCAGGTCTTTAGACATGTGCACGCGCCCCCGGATTGTGCCAAAATCGAGCTTTTTTATGTAAGAAAGTTGAATCTGACTCAGTGGTTCCCCAAGTGCAACCTGGGCCAAGGTAAACGTGTTTTTTTTTTGGGGGGGGGGGGCACATAGTCTGGTTAAACGATGTGCTGTCTGCCTGTTTTTACGCGCACGATCTTTTCTTTTATTATTATGCAGATCAGTGTCTGATGTGCATCAGCAGACAGATGCAAAACAACCCCAAACGGAGCGCCGTGATGGGAACCAGATGTGGGAGCTGCCTGCCCACACATTCCTCGCGTCCACACGACGGTGGAAAGAGCGCAAGAGAAGCGTAAAAGAGCGAGAGGGGATGATGCTCCAAAAAAGGTTAGACGCAGGATTGTCATCGGTGACACGTGGCGAGCGCGCGCGCGCGCGCCTCAGAGCGACTTTAATCGAGCCTACCTTTCATTGTGGTCCGCTGGCCTCTTAAAAGTCGTGCAGTTGTAGTTTGGAGTCACATCCAGAGCATCGCTTTGGCATTTGCACCAAAACTGCAGGTATCCCCCCTGACCTCAGGGGATGCAGCGTAAAAAAAAGAAAAAAAAAAGAAATCAGAGGCTGATTGGAATTTGCCTGACGCTGGAGAGCACCTCCTTTCAGTGCAGGTAACTTTTGTGCTGCAGGGGAAAACAAAAAAACAAAGCAAAAAAAACAGCAGCCTACTGAAAGTTTGGGTATATGCAGACTCCTCCGAGACTTTTTTCTTCTCGTTCGGTTAGTCGGTCGGTTGTTTTTTTGGGGGGAGATGCTGAGGGGAGGCTGCGCCGCTTCCCAGCTCTCAGCTCCAAAGCAGCAGCAGCCACAGGAGAAACTCCACAAGTGCAGGAATCCAAACGTGAAAGGAAGTGGTGCACCCGTAGGGCTGCTTGGAGAAACCACGTGTTCCACACATCTGTGCGCACCCCATCCACTCTGGATGTCCCCTGCCTGTGTGAGTGTGTGTGTGTGTGAGAGAGAGAGAGTGTGTGTGTGTTTTCCTCTTTACAGGATGCAGGCTGTACTAAATCCATATCGCAGTTTCAACATTAAACTTGGTATAAAGTTGTGGGAGTAGTTGGGAGGGAATGATGTTGAGTCTGTTTCCATCCTTTTTTTGTGCGTGTGGAAGGCTGGTCTGAGTTTGCTGAGTTAGAGAAGAGAAGAGACTGTTCAAAAGATTTTACTCCTCTTGTATTTATTCTGCACCATGTGGGGTTGCCTCTAACTTAAGTTTCAAGAATGAATGGGGAAAAAGGCTTAAAGGCTCGTTGAAAGCATTGCATTCAGTGAAAAAAATAGACACCTTATCTCGTAATTACGAAAAAAAAGACCTCGTAATTACGACATCGTAAACTCGTAATTACGAGTTATTTTCCCGTAATTACTAGATACGGTGTCTTTTTTTCAGTCAATGCAGTGCGCTTCTGTAAGAACACTTCTTCTACACTTCTGTACACTTCTCAAAGTCGAGATTCTCCAGTTCCAACACAATATTGATGAGGTTTCACTTTTTTGCCACTTGGGGGCAGTGGCAGAGATTCTCTGGCTGAGGTGTTTGACAACTATTTCCAGTTGCTACAAACATTGATTTACCTTTTTCTTGTATTATTATTTATTATCATTATGCTGTTGTATTTTCATTAACCCACACTGTAAGGGACAAAATAAAGAAAGGGGTTGGGGTGTCGAAACTCCTATGAGAAAGGTTAAAGTACCAAAAAGCAAACAACTAATCCAAATTTCATCCCTTCATATGTGCCGATTTACATTCAATCCTGTGAACAACCGTGTGCTTGCATTCCTACACAACCAGGGACCCCTTTTGTTGTCAACTGTTCGGTGTTTAGCACGCCACGGGAGAACGTGGGAGAAAGGGTTCTCCCGGCTGGGTTATGGGAACCAGGTGCTGAAGGTGTCACAGAGGCTCGAGCATTGGCTGGCTTTGATTATTGTGCACTAAAGACTCACTAAGGACTTATTTTCTGGGTCACAGAATGCAGATGGGGGCCCATTTTTTCTTTTAGGGAGATGGGGCAATAGTGAAGAGATGAGTACCTCTGATACAAAGCAGTTTCCCAATGCTGCCAACATAAGATGGATTTAGATCCGGCCACAGGAACAACGTTGCGGTCATTTTTTTTCAAATTAATGTAGAAGAATAATTGTAATGTTTAGTGTGTATTGTTGCAGGTATAAATGCACGTTAACTGCAAGTTCAGAGGCCAAAATGTTAAAAAGATGTATCTTTGGAACCATCAAATGAGATTACGATCAGCCAGGCTAAGGATTTTCACAATGTAATCTTCATATCTCCACATATAAAGCTGTTATTACAGGGTACACAGACTGTATATCATTCTGAAAGATTGTTCATTAATAACTAGAAATAATGGAAAGGTTTAGCTGGTTCTGTAAAATGTGTGAGGACGGAGTCGGGTCTGACAAACATGTCACCAAACATTAAAGTGCTTTAAACAGCCATGACCAAATAGTAGCTTGGAAATGTGGCTTGGATAAGCTAACTCTTATGCAAAGCTTCCTGTCAGCGTGCCAGACGCTGGATTAACGGGCATGAACGCCCGGCAAAGACAGTAATAGGATAAAGCTCATGTGGAACAATCACAAATAGACGTGACCAGGTCAGGATAACCTGTGGACTCCCGCGCCACAAGGAGCACTTTGTTTACGCTGGTCAGGGCAGAAGTAACGTCCGTCTCCTGCTGGTGAGTTTTCTGGGTGTCTGTCTGATGTTTTTCTCCTCTTTGTCAGTGGCTGTTACCTTTTAGTTTGTCCCAGACTCGAGCCCTATGTCCACATCCTTTGTGTTTGGTTAATATATCATATTTGTTTTTGTTTCTTTTCCCTAGTTTTTCTCTTTAAAGGTGATGATTTCTCATTCCCCATCAAATTGTCTTGAATTAGTCGGACCCTTTTAGGCCTGTCAGTAAACCTTTAGATGAATATGTTTTTTCGGTTTTGTCCTCTTTTTAAAAGTCTTTTTCCATTCCGGTGTATGTGAGGTGCACAAACGAGACAACAGAACAACTTTTATTAGCAACTTAAACCCGTTATGAAATAAGCGAAGCAGGTACATCCCCATTTACTGTAAATCCCCCGATAGACGCCAGCTTGTGTAACTCTTAACAAGGCTGAGCACAACAGGATTTCAACACAACAAAGGTGGGCAAGTGAGTTCAGCTGGTGGAGGAAATTGTTTTTTTGTGTGTATTCCTTTGACTTGGTGCGTCCTGGCCTCCTGGCACCGCAGATGGCCGGGACGTAAACATGGCCTCCCGACAGAGATGAGCCCCGTGATGTCATTTCTTCAGAGCTGGCGTACTGTTTCTGGGCTGGTTATGCCACAAAAACTCAACTCAGCTGAGCAAATAAAGTCACACAACGCAACGTTGGGTGTCAAGATGAATCTAAACAGCCATGTAACCTCACTTTTTCAAACACGCCACAATGTACGGATCACTCTTCACTGCTTTTACGTAATGCAGTGAAGAGTTTTTAAGAGTTTTTAAGCAGATGCCATCAGTGAACCTGAACCTCTGTCAGGTTTAAAAGTGCACAATTGCCCGTGAGGCTGTCGTGAAGTGGTCTTTCTTAGTCCAATCAACTAAAAGCACCAGTGGGAGAAATCCCTGTAATTTGATTTGCAAAATCAGCCCTCTGAACAGCTATGTAGCCCCACCAAGTGGCCGCCTTCCTCATGACCGCGCATGTTTCTCTGTCGTCAACTCAAATCCTATTTACTAAACGGATCAGACTCCACGACACGTGTTCTCCGGGTTCCTGAGCTCAGACTTTGTTTGTGTGCGGCTGACAGGTCTCTGTGAGCCAGTGTGAGTCAGCACCAGTCACCGGAATTCAAAGAACCAGAGTTCAAAGGCCGGACCCGTCTTTTCCTTCTTTCAGAGTCTCCTTTTTCCCCATCGGACACCGCCACTGAGCTCCAGAATGAAGCTCCTGCTCAGTGTGATGCTGCTGGGGGCCACGCTCGGCATCCTGGGCTCCACTTCTGTGGACCGACCCAAAGTAATTTCAGAGGACACTTTAAAACGTGAGTGGGCGTTGATGAACTTCGATGCGACGTCGGCTTCTTCTGTGAGTTCTAACGTTTTCGTTTCACTGTTAGACGCAAAGCAAACGTCTGTCTGCTTCCGTTTTACAGAGCTGTCCGCGGATGGAGAGAAACTTGTGGACGACGAGGTGAAGAGGGCCTTGTACGGCGTGACGCAGATGAGGGAGGTGATGTGGAGGAACGAGCAGAAGCACGAGCACCTCATGAAGTCCCTGAGGCACAGCGGCGACAAGAAGAAGGTACGACAGAAACAAATCTACAGATACAGGGAGTTACGAAACGGGCCGAAGCAGGGAGCCAAGTTCTTACCACGTCCTGTTTTCTCCCACTAGGGGGCAGCCCAACTGGCGAAAGAGGTGACGGAGAAGCTGGAGGAGGCAGAGGAGCACTGCAAAGACACCCTGCAGTCTGAGTGGGAGAAGTGCAGGCCGTGTCTGGAGGACGCGTGCAAAACCTTCTACGCCTCCACCTGCCGCAGGGGCTTCGCCACCTTCCACACCAAGGTACCAAGAATGGATCCACAGCGACGCCAGAGTTATTCGTCAGGTTCAGAAAATGACACCATATTGGACCATATTGCCCTCCAGATGTGCCCATTTCAAACACTACATGAGAAAATAGCAAACAGCTCCCACACATATTTCTAGTGATTATGTCAAATTACCAGGATAATCAAACACAAACTCGTGCTGCTGCATTTCCTTTTTAAATGTTGTTTTCTGAGCACCACCCAGTTAAAGCAAAGGACTTTCTGTTTGCCGTACAGTTAATTTGTTTGTATGTTTAGCTTTAATTGGCCTTAACATGTACACCATGTATAATTATGTGCTATTATAAAGGACCATGTAAAAGCGATCCCACTTAAGTCTGCCCCTATTTCTAATTTCTGTTTGTTTGACAGATTCAAGTCATGATCATTTTTTCATCTTTATGGTTCTAAATTGGTCTCGGTCAAAATGTCTAACATTTGAGATATTTCTCATTTGGTTTTTCATACATTGTTTTAATTATATTTTCTCTTAGTGGGTGGTTTTGTGTCATTTTAGTTCACTTTGATGTCAATTTGGCAATTTTATTACCCCATTTTGTCTCCTTTTGCTTATTTTACATAGCTCAGTATAAGATTATGACAATTTCACTGGCACATTCAATTTTACTTATTTTTCAGAAATATATGTCCACGATTAGCTCCTGTTCAATTATCTGTCATGACCCTAAGAATGATCCAATTTGGAAACCACGGTGCTACCTAACATGAAACACACCGACTTGTAACTTCTGTATCGCAGGTGGAAAGCTTTTTCCGGAGGGTCTCCCAGCGCATGGGGCCTCGGGAGCGCAGACCGGAAGCCGACGACATCCTGGTCAACCAGGGTCCCGACGACTCCGACACGGACGTGGCACGGCTGGAGGATTCCTTCAACCGCGTGATGAGCAAAGTGGGCACCCTGGTCAACCGCAGCATCAGCCTGGTCAGCAGCATGAGCGACCGGCTGGACAGGGCCCTGCAGAGAGCCCTCCTGAACAGAACCGACGCCTCGCCGGAAGAAACCACCACGGATCCTTTCTACCCCGTCCGAGACTCGGGGTTCCTGCAGGGCGTCGGGCTGGAAGAGGTTCTGGAATCCTTCTTCGACTTCGGCAAGAGTGTTGTGGAGGAGTTCGGATCCGTGGTGACCCAGGTGTTTGATGACCTCCACAAGGCTGTGGAAGAGGAGAAGAAGAAAGGTAGCGGAGGGGATTAGATGAGCCATCTAATTGAATATTGCAGAAAACATGAAGTTAAGCGGGAATTTTTAAGAGTTTTTAAGCATCTGTGGCAAAAATAGACAAATACAAGGTTGAATTTAGCTGTGTTGAAGAAATTTGGCCTTGCATTTCCTAATTCCTTTTCACCTAAACTATCATTTTCACTCCGTTTGATTTAGAGAGGGATAGCTTCCCTCGATTCCTTCAGAACAGGAAGTTGTGCAGAGACCTTCGCAAACAGACGTCCGAGTGCTGGCAGCTTCAGAGCAAGTGTGAGGCCTGCCAGGGAGCTCTGCTCACAGGTGAAGCCCCCCCCCACCCCCACCCCCCACCTCTCTCCCGGCTCAGGCTTTTGACTAATGTGAACCGGTCTCCCCCCGGCTGCCAGAGTGTCCCGGGGTCCAGGAGCTGCACGTGGAGCTGGACGAGGTTTCCCAGCTGCTGGATGTGTCCAAAGAGCAGTACGACGAGGTCCTGTCCATCGTCCAGCGGCACGCCGACGAAACCATCAACTGGCTCGGCAACATGGCGGCCGAGTTCAGCTGGGTGGCCAAAGCCGCCAGCAACAGCAGCTCCCCTCGGAATATCTTCCGCATCTCCATGGTGAGTCAGGGCGAGCGTTAGAGAGGAGTTTATTCCAAATATATATGAGTCATAAGTTTCTATATCCGGAGGGTAAATAGGCAAACAAAGACCTTGGAAGTTATATCTGAGAAAAGGTGTTTTTTTTTTGTCAGGAGTAGAGTAGAAATGACTCCTTTTTCTCTGCAGGTGGCACCAGAGACCCTGGATGAGCAGAACATGTCTGTTTCTGAGACTAAAGTGGAGGTGAACATCCTGAACTCCCCCCCACTCATCTTCTCTGTTCCCGGGGAGCTGGAAGTGAGAGACCCCAGCTTCATCCAGTACGTGGCCCAGGAGGCTCTGGGCAAATACAAAGAGATAGTCAGGTGAGATTTACTGACCAGGTCTTTTTGAGAACAAACATGTCAGTAGTTACATCCGAAATGTACCATTAGATACTGGATGCTGGGAAAAGTGGGCTTGACTTTATTTGCGACTTGAAAAAATAATCTATTTTGTCTCCACAGGATCGAGGATGAATAAAACTACAGTGTCTTCTTAATCTGCAGCACTTTATCAATTAACTTAGATTGTGTTTGTGAAGTAGGAAATAGGACGTTGAAACACAAATACACTATAGTTGTAACTGCCATTGCCATGTACTGAATGTAAAAAAATGAAGAAATCAAACCTTGTCAATAAATAATAAAACTACTTATTGCCGGTCATGTGACATCATTACTCAACTATCAAGAAGAGGACTTGATCAGGAAACTTGTCATCCTTTTAATTTTATTCTGTACAAAATCATATTAGTTTTTCTCATCAGCTTTACCACTCATGAACCCATCATTTTGAGTCACAATTTTCAAGAACTGCTAATCACATGAATGATACCTAAAAAAAGAAAAAAAAGAAGAAAAAAAAAAGGCTTTAACCTCGACCGCTGCCTCCCGTTTCTCACACCTCGATATGAAATGCAAGTGGTGGATGTAGACGTACCTTTAAGAGTCAACTCTTAGCTTTTTAGACTAACATTTTAAAGAAAGATAAACCAGCCTGCGCGAGTAAAACATCGAGTCTTTTGGATCGATCCAAAAGATTAAAAATGGTTGTGCATATTTGCATTGAGAAATAAAAGGAAAAGGGAAAAGATGCTGCTTTCAGAGATGCAGTTTTGGGATATAACATTTTTTAAACAGAACTTATGAAATCACAGGTTGATGTGATTTGTCTCTCCTTACACCTTTTTCATCTGCCAGGAGAAACATTTCCGTGCGTGTTACATATGTAATGCACCCCTGTCAACAGATGTGTGCAATGTGTTTGCAACCTGACTGCAAATATATTAGACTTTGAGCTATCAGAGCTGTGCACCACACAGAGCATCCAAACCTTTTGACAAATGAACTCAGTGTCTTTAAACATTTCACAAAGTGTCCACTTATAAACATTTATAAGATTGTTAATTATGAAAACTATTGTAAATGTTCAAGATAACTATCAATGCTCTAAAAATTCCCAGATTAATTTGAAAAAAAATAAAAAAAACTGACTAATTTGTCATTCAAGTGAGCCGGTTAGAAACAATCATACAATACAAGCATCCCGTCCTCCATCGATGACACCTTCTAAAAATACATCTTTTTATACATCTTGTATGTACATCTGCTTTGATCTCGGTACATTCTTGCATCCACGCGCAGACCTTTTCATTGAAATCCTGCTTCTCCGTCGCATCTTTACAGTCACAGCACGTACTCAACCACAGTTATTGGTCACTTTAAAAAAAGCAAATAAAAAACATCCGCGTCCACCCACTTATTCAAACCAAACTCATGTACATATAAAAGGTTCTTCGACTCCAATATTAAAAGACGTGGTTCAATGGAAATAAAAAGCGGGAAATTGGAGAAAGAGGGGGAGGCGGGAATTTACCATTTCCAGAGAAAAAAAAAAAAGGTTTAAGATACAAACAGTAATAATCAGCATCTGCACAGACTCATTAATTTGAATCCCACTCTCCTTAGATCACAGTGATGTGGCCAGCCCACATGGATTATTCTGATTGGCAGAGTTCCAAGAGTTTAAGATATAAGCATCGTTCGGCACACATGGGGCCTTGGTTCCCAGGTACACAAAGGGACCACATTTCGAGATATGCCAGTGTCTCTGTTGTCCCAAATTTTCATCTTCCCTGACGTACATCTCAGCACTGGAGCTCCCCCCGACCCCCCCCCCCCC